TTTCACCTTGTAATACTCTGTCGTCTCTATCTCGTTCCAAGAGAGCCGCGAGAGAGGAAGTTTCGCTTCGCGTTAGAGATGCACCGAGCGTTTTCGTGCTAGGATCGTTGCCTCTCTTAACAATACATCCTCTCCCCTTTAAAGCTGAGGCAACGAGGCTCGCCACAGATAGAATCAGACGGCAGTCGATGCCAAGGACCATCGCGCGTCTCGTCGTTCCTACGGCTGCGTCGCGTCGTCGTCTATTTTGACGTTAGTTTCCGGCAGGCGTGATGGCATTTCCGTCTCGAAGTACACGCGGAGGAGAAACCGCAGACCGCCCCGTATGAGCCAGCAGACAGAATTGTCCTCATACCGAGGCTGACGTGCCATGCAGTATCGTTCCGTTCCGTTCCGTGTGCGTTCATCCCTCCGGCTATCCAGGTGGATCGTTGATCGCTAAATTCTCACGCCCGTGAACGCTCCACATACTTATTCGTGTACATGTTATTCCCTGACGCGACGCTCGTCTGGACGACGATTAAAACCGAACAAAAAGAAATCGTAGAGAGTATGTTACTAATCGCAGCCCGGAGGGATTGAGGAATTGTGCATTTGCAGAAAACGTAAAAAAAACAGTCTTTATTCTAGCGATTTGTAAATCGTATTTCATGAAATGAACGAGTAATGCTAGCCGACGATAAAAAGTTCAATTAAGAAATAAGATAACAACGTTCAATGGGACAAAACCTTGGCGCAGTAAGTGAAAAGTATATTTCGTTATGTCCGTGCACAGCGACAGAAAACAAGATATCGAAATTGAATTACCACATTCGAGCACTCGATTATTCAATTATCGACTAAACAGCATTCTCGAGGCACCGAACAAATCCTTGAAGACAATTCGTAGATCAACTTAAAATAAAGCGATCGATAAAACTGCACTATTTGTAGACACTTTTGATAGGTTTTCTCATCGTCAGGCTACGAGATTAAAAAGTGATTTCAAAAACAGAATTCACTCATGTCTATAATTCTTAAATTATTAAGTGAATTCTTAAATCGAAAGAGTACAGATTTCCTATTTTTAATATTTTATAATTCAAAGATTCTTAGTACAAAATCTCGTACATGGATAAACCGAAATAATCTTGTTGGCCTTCTAAATTTAATTCTGTCGACAAAGGCTCTGAGAAGACCTTGGCTAGACACATAGGATAGATAGACACAAATGGCAAAGAACAAAACTGTGTAAAATTAATAACAGCGTGACAACAAGTGACCGCATCGAACCAATCATAATTCGAGTTAATCGTGGTCGATCGGCCATAATTCCATGCAGGTCGCTTGCGAAAAGCTTCCTAATCAGTTTCCGCTATTACGATCATAGACAAAGATTAAACCGTGCGTGATTAACGTGTACAGAAACACGGCAAAGCGTGGGCGACTTTCCCGTTAACGCCACGCCGTCGCCGCTGCCGCCGTCATACCGCGCTGCGCATTGGAAACTTTCAGCCGGATTTCGCCGCGTGTGATTTTCCGGACAGTATTTAGTGGAGTGGCTTCGTCTGCCGCAGGCGGCCGAGCGCCGCGCCACGCCGGATGCATGAGACGGTTGCTTTCATCGTGCCAATCTGGTAATTGAAATCGAACGTTCAGCCAGCACGCGGACTAAAATCACCTGGAGAAATTCGTTCTAGGAAAGTAACGTTAAAAGGTGGGAACAAAGAGAAATCGGAAAGAGAACGGAAGGTAGAGCGCCAAATACGTCAGCCGATTAAAAAGAGCGACCTATATATAAATTAATGAAACTCGCGCCGTCTCTAATTTATTCTAAATTCTCATGACTTTCGACCGCTTCAACAAACGAAGGAAAATATGATTAGATTGCATGAAAGTTAAATGAAGAAATAAAATTCATCTAAACCGAAGTCGTCCTTTTATTTCCGAACTGCTTAACTACTCCAGAAAACGAGTGGATCAAAATAAGGAAATTCGAAAGAGGGTGCGGATCGAGAGAACAGTGGCGAACCAATTGAAAGAGACCCGACGGGCATTTTCGAAGCGAGGAGGACTCGGCGGTCGGGATTTCAAAGGCCAGCTTGAAATGAAATTCCGCAGCTGCTGGTTTCTTCGATTAATTTATCTATTACTATCTACTACGTCGTCCTGGTTCATTCAGGCTTCTGCATGCCTTGACAAACGCGTGCTTTTAGCGTAATGCGTTCCTACGGAGCTGGCTACTGATAATTGAACAAAGTGTGGAATTGCTCCGAGCTCTGCGAAACATCCAGCTTACATAAAATGAACGGCGCCGTCTTCTAAGTGCAGCGGATGTAATTTATCAGACATTCGTATTAGAGAATGATCAAATTGTACTCACTTTATCTACTTTCAAATTTTTAATACAAATTGTTTCGCAGATATACTTCTTGTCTTAAAATTAGGCGATATTGAGAGTTTTATTAAATAAAGAAACAGAGAAAATGTTATGAATGATTGATATATTTTTATCAATATATACTAGATAACCAACGTTTTTTTAGATAGGAAACGAGAAACAAATTTCACAATGTAACATTTATAAATAAAAAAAGTTTCCTGATAAAATGTACGTATCCATGGTTAACGTGCCTGGACGTTATTGATTTATGTTTCCGAAAACTTGATTAGCTGAATGGCAATTGGGCAAAAACCGGCAGGAATTGGTTGGACGTAGTCACGTACGAGTATGTGTATAGTTACCGTTCATTTAGTCTCCCATATCACAAAGTCTGGGAATATTCGGAATTGACGTCACACGGTTTTCTGGTCGGATGTCCGTGCTGACAACGCGCTGCTAATTAGCCCCTCTTGTAATTATTACGACGATCGATCCGCGTTTCAGAACATATCGAACTGTGAAAGGTGATTGTGGAACTCCTGCGGCGTCTTTGATGTAATTACTTCCGGGAAATTTGGTAAATTAGAGTCATTGTCACGCGATCTTTGTATTGTCGGACTCAAACGTTGGCTTCCCTTTATGAGGGAGCAAATCAGACATTATCATTCATTCAATAATTGTATTACTTTATTGATAAATAAAATATATATGTGTTCATTCAATCATTGTATTATTTAATTAACTATACATATATTTCAGCTAATATTTATTATTCTACTGATAAATATTCACAATATACAGGCTCGTCTTAGAAAAAGAGGAACTTTCATTTGGTTGCTAAAATTTCGCGAGATTCACGCAAAACTGGGAAACGGTGTTAATTAATGTTGTTTGTGAATTTATCTTCATAAATTTTGAAAAGGCAATAATGTTAGAAGAACTTAATTACTGTTCAAACAGCAGCGTATATCAAAGAGAATGGGTTAACATATACGGTCACTGTTTTAAGCTTTATTTTTCATATCTAACACGTGCCGGCGAGTCGGTTAATTTCCCATATGGCAAATACAGAATTTTAAAAACGAGAATTTTCAAAAATAGTTAAGTCTTATAATGATTTATTTGTCACATCTATTAAACAATTCTAAATACATGTTACAGGTGTAAAGTTCCATTTATTTTTTATTGTTTATATATCATTTCAATAATAATTAATCTCTTATTAATATTTATAATATCGTGTCATGTCTCTTAAAATTTAATCTTGTTTCGTACCGGAAGGCAATTAACAATTAATGTAAATTAAGATTTGGCAAGAGACAATAGTATATGAAGTCCTTAGGCGAAAGTGCCAGTCGATGTAAATTTCAAATGCTGATGTCGACGCAAGAAACGGAACTGATAGGAGTAAGTCATGACGCGCTTCCTCGCGGGAGTTGATGTAGACCAAAAAGCCGCTGCTCGGTGCTCGCTGAAATACGCCGCTCTTTTAAAACGCGCCAGTGGGCTTATACGCGCGCGCGTCGCTCGTTAACCCGGCCATCAGTTTCACGCATGCCGCCCCAAAAAAGCACGATGACAGCTACGAAACCGTGGCCGACTCCCCGTCGCTGTGACTCTGCTGTGTTGACTTTTTCACTCTCACCACGGCATCCTTGTCCGCGCCCCATTCCCCTGTCCCTACTATTCATCCTTTTATTCCTGATTTTTCAATTTCCACCCCTTTTCGCATTACACTCTCGCCCATAGCCGCGGCCGCGAATCGCTTGATCCTTTCACTGCGAGAGCGATTATACCGATTCACGAAAAGACAATTCCGCCGGCAGACACAGCAGATCGTTTAATGTCTACTTCCTGCGGAACAAATGCAGGTTCAATGAATGGGTATATTGCAATCGAAAAAAAAAAAATAAATCTACAAATGTCTGATTTAAAAATTTGGATCTAAATGGAACGTAAATTTAATTGCAAGATTAAATAGGGAATATAAAGTGAAAAATTAGAATCATTAAAAATCCAATTACTTGGAGCTTGAACGATCAGTTTAGAATTTAGGATCATAAGTAAATACAATAGGTTGTTGAGTATATATGCAAAACGATATCAAATAGATAACCATCACATCGGATGAATAGGGGTATTGCCGATGAGCGTGGTTGAACTCCAGCCAGATCTTGACTAGCGTCTCTAACGTCAAACATCGGAATATGTATAGATTTTGTAATAAAATAGAATACCTCTGATGTGTATATATAAGGAAGCAATGGAAAACGATAATATTATAACAAAGTTTGCACGTGATAGATATTCAGACATCAAAGATACTCCACTAAGACTCTATTACTTCCCCTCAAAATAGATGTATGTTTTCTGTACAGTAATAAAAAAGATTTTCTACGATGTGAATCTGGCGAATATATTTCTTATCTGATTACACTGTTACAAATGATTCTGTTAGGATCCTGTAACAGGAACCGTAAACCAGGGATTCCACCAATAAATTATGTACGTGCGATGTGGCACGCAATCGGGCACGGATAATTTTCGGAAAATGTTATAATGACAAGCGGTGAACCGCACGAACGCAAATTTTCGAATTCCCATCGCCCACATAGTAAAATTTCGCCGCTTGTTCCAGGTCTGCTCAGGCTGCAGCAGATCTATCAAGGCCTGAAGCCAGGTAACGAGTCGTTTCAAGTGGAGACAGTCAAGCGTATACAAAACATGTCCGAGGCGATCGATTTTTTGCGCAGTTTGGAGGAATTAAACAGGTGAGCCAGTAGTACTTAATTATTTAACAAGATATCATATTATTTTTAATAAGAGGGATTTATTATGATATTAAGTAATTATTTTATATAGTATGTAAAGGAATGCAGACAGTAATTAATCAAAACTGATTAGTGTAATCGACTTTGCTCATGTGAAATGAATTTGTTCATAATAAATTAAAAGAATAATAATGTTTCTGTCATCGAACCCTAAAAAATAAATTCAATATGTAATATGAAATCCTTAATCAAAGATTATTTAGTCTATTAATCACATAAAATCATTTCGTACATTGACAGCTTTCCTTATTATACAAATGAAAACAGAAATGAAAGATTTGCTACAAACCTGTATTTTTTTTGGGGACGAGCCCGTCCGCATTCTGGCATGGCGATGTATCGCGCTTTTGTGCGGATACAAGCGGTCTCGGCCGCAATTTACCACTGGCCACGGCATTTGCGCGGGCCAGGTAATCAACAAACGGCCACGACAATGAGTCCGAATCGAATGAACGTTCCCGTTACCGGAAACAAAACACGAGTATCGTGACATGGTTTGTTGCGCCGCGAAACGACTTTAGCATTGGAGACGTGACGCGATTGGAATTATACAAATTCATTTTCAATCACTATTATCAGAGCCTATTATATCATAGCTGATAATATTTGATGAGACAGGAGCATCAATACCTGCTTTTCGTGTGAATATATTCAAATCCGATATTGTTGATAAAATAAAATTGTCAAGAAAAATGTTTATAGTATTAAAATTAAGTACTTGACAATATTTATCATACAAGAATATTGTACAATTAACTATAAATTTAAGTATGTTATTTATAGAACGTAAAACATAAGATTTAAAAAATTAGATAATAAACATTGCAAATTCTTTGTAGATGGAGTAATAAATATGTCGTACTGGATTGTCCGACGGATATGGCGAAGGATATTGTAGTGAGTCACGTCAGGGACGTGGCACTTGGAAAAAGAACGTATCACTACTTATTGAGTGGATTGGTAAGCATTACTTATATACAATGCGATTTAAACAGGATTTTATCAATTCAAAGCACTCGTAGCAAATGCAAATATAATTTAACAGCATAATAAGATCAGAAATTTTCATATTGTTAACATAGAATGCAATGTGTTTCCTATTTATTTGATTGAACTAAAATCGTTCGATCCGAGATAGACTCGACGTAGTAGTCTCAGGCAAACGGGGAACAGTTTTGGCTCGGCGTACTCGTACTTAAATACGTATAAAGAGTGACGTGCTTTTTATTGCTGCGAACTTTCGAGGGGAAGCGAAGAAACGCGAGCTTTGTGTCTTTTGTACGACGGTACAAGTACGCTGTTCCCGTGTAATCAGATAATGGACGACCGATGGGAGAGCGAGGTGATCGAGTACGGCGCCATCAACATCACCGGTTTCCGCATCGTGGACGCCACTCGACCCTACGTCAAAGATTTCCTGGCAGGCTGGCATCACCTCGACCCGGCCACGTCTCAAGGAGCCGGCCGCGAATCGATTTCTGTATGTATCCTCATCCTTTTCTGTAATTGAAAATACTTTTCTTTCCTGGAAACGGCCCATGATTGACACAGAACAAATCGCGGAGAAATCGACACGTAAGCAACAGCTTCCTTATTTCCAATCCTCGGAATATTGTCAAGAATAATTTCAAATCAGTTTTTGATTGTCAGCAATCCTTGAAACGAATTTTCATCTGTTGTTTCAAAATCTTTCCCAAACAAGATGTTCCTGGATCCGTACTACGCGGTAGCTCTATTTTTCTGGATACACTCGTGGCAAATTGTGTTACCTCGCTCCCAAGTCTAGGTAAATCCTCGCGAATTTCTATCTTGGAATATTTGCAATATACACCGTAGTTTGAAAACTTGAATCATGTTACGATAAATGTAAGAAATATCATTCT